CGGGATATAATTTCAAACTATATCCCGTTCGGGATATAAAAAAAATTTTGCTGCAAAAAATGATATCCCAATCGGGATATATATCCCGATTGGGAGTACATCCCGATCGGGATATGTCTCCACACTGCATTAGAACTCAGGATTCGAACATAATACACTCTTCAGAATTGAAAATTTTATTGTTAAATGGGAATAAACATACGATTGAACATTTGTCTTTTATACTTGTCTCTTTCTATTGAAATTATTATAGCGGGACGGGCGAAGAAATTTGACTTTTTATAAATGAACGTTTTCTGTCCGCCGCAGTATTAAAATTTCAAGAAGAGAAAAAGAACAAAAAGGAAGAATAAAATGAAGATAGTCAACCGTGTTTTTCAAATGTTTTTTCCCATTTAGCAATAAAAGTTTCAACTCTGAAGAAGCGCGTATTACGTTTGGAACGGTCAATTATGATATATCTATTGCTATACGTCCATATTTACAATTATATATTTTATTTTACATTAGCAATTGTAAATTATAAATTATGTAACATATTTATAATGATTTAAGCAAGAACAAAATATTTTTAAAATGATCAATATAATCTTCTAAAACGTAATGGACTTTCATTCTCTACTTACAAGAACAGAATTCACTGTATTTTGATAAAAAAGCATCAATGCAGTCTTCTATAAAGTTGAAATAAGGTATTCATAACCTATAAAACTTCATTGAAACTTGTATTTGTATTGACTGTATTTTATATACGTGAAAATCTATACTACATAAAACCAAAACACATTTGTATAATAAAATGTATTTTTTCAAAATCCCACCAGATAGGCCTCAAAGATCCGTAGGTAGGGCTCAGCCCTATCTGGCCCACCCCTGACTCCGCCACTGCCCACCACGTTCGCAAAACTGCAGAAGCACGGAGAACATAGAGATAAGCGTTAGGAGACACTTACTACAGCAGTTTTAAATGTTTCTTGCGATGTTTCCTGTCCTTCTTGTTCTGGCTCACCTTCTGGTTGTTCTAATGGAATGTGCTTCTAAAAGATATAAGTTGTTCAGCAAAAATAAGGAAGCAGTCACTGACGACGCACATACACTACGATGACTAAACGTCTTTTGTATCTTGACTTGGTTTTTAAATAATAGTTGAAACATTGTACCATGCTTCTTTTGTGTTATTACAATTTGATTCAACTTTTTCTGAGTATCATGCTAAATGTGACTGAATAACAGAAATCGTTAGAAGACGAATAAAAGAATTGGTAATCCTTAGTTTTACCCTCAATTGCCGTCGCAAAACTCCTGAAAGAGAGAAAGTAGGACGAAGATTCGTCTCTGACGAGGAAAACTAGAGCTACAATCAGGCAGTTGGTTTAAAACACTCTTTACCTTGTGCTTTCGACGAGGGTGCTTGATTTTTCTATTGATTATTAACGGGTGTCACTGTCATAACTAATGAAGATAGTGCGTCTTTATTTGGTACTGAACTACGTACAAATGGAACATCAATAAGAGTAATAATTGACTTTGAAATACCTAAGAAAAGATCAAATAAACAAATAATCTCTCATAACAAAATAGCTTCGATGATCATCTTAGCTCGTTTAGCGTCACTCTCTGGAGCATATAAGAGTTGCGACACTTCTTCGATAGAGACATTATCTTTTGGCAACGCTGTCGGTTTAGCGACGGTTTCTGAGCGCAGTACGGATAAGAATGAAAAGACTGAGGTGTATGTGCACTAACAACAAACCTGGACCCGTTGCTGAGGAGGAGGAGGAGGCAACTTTTCCTGATGGTTTAAATCCTAAACCGGTTGTTGTTTTCAATCTCCTTTTATTTCCAACTAAATCATTTTGTGATTGTGCTTATGCAACTTCCATGTCTGATTCAATATCAGTATTTTGTGCCTTATTGATGGTTGCTGCTGCCTTTTCTATCTCATCTCTATTACCTGCAATAGAGACACCATTTGTGTACTGCAAGCTGGAAAAACAGGCACAACACTGAAGCTAGAAAATTTACCTTCTCGAAACACGAAACCAATGTATGATTTACTTTTTTCTTTAATCGTGACCATATTGTTTTCATCGAGCTTTGGATATTTAGATTTTCTGACAATACTGAAAGTATTTTCTTTTAGCCAAATAATCAAGGCAAATTCATCATTAGACGTGGAAGGACGTTGAATTGAAGTCATGTACGTCTTTGCATATGAATTTGTGGTTGTCATCTACAAATACAGAAAGTATAATAAGATTAAGACTGAGTTATCCATGAGTCTGCAAAGCAAAAACTAGCTTTTTCATCGAAGAAAACTAACAATCACTCTTAAAATATTAATCATGCTGAAAATCAACTCGTATTTCACTTACACAAAATTCGTTATGAAAAGGAACACAAATACATTTATGTACAAGCTGCTCGACATTCACAACTTCGAAAGAGTCGCTTAACACTAGTAAAGGGTATAGTTCATCTAATTTCTCTGAAATATCTGATGAAGGTTAAAAATGAAGATAATGTAATTGTAGATAGACGAAGTTTTCGAACATAAAAATACTGCTGATCATTACAAGAGTAAAAAAGATACAATTGCCATAAAAAATTTCTCTATTCTTTTCGTACGTGACAGAAAAACTATTACACTTGAAATGTCGATCATAAATCAATGAATGATAAGTTTGTAAACAGTGCTTGTATCTTTTGAATAGTTTTATGTCATTCAAATCTTGCTGATATGCTAATAGTAAAGCAGTAAATGTAGCACGATATTCAATCATGAAATCGGTTTCGATTTTGAATTCACTTAACAGAGATGACGGTGCTAGTTCAATTTTTTTGAATGGTAGCATGTTTTCTAGTTCTATCCAGTATGAAATTTGTGTGGCTAGATCTAGATTTTTTGTGTGGCTGCCTTTGATTTGACATACCGAATGGCAGATTCAAAACAAAAGGCTGAACAATATGCCAAGCCTCCATGTTGACGTACTTGTGCGGGAAGATGTAAATGACAATGGACTGAGTTCTAAACCTTGATCATATACAGACGCAGCAGTACGACAAAAATAATGGATTAAATCTTCAGCAAATTGTATTTCATTTGAATCGATTGGACAATGTAAAATTCTTATAGCTATACCTACGAGAGAAAAGAAGATAAACCCAAGATACTTTGAGCAAATCAATCGTCGCTAAACCGATACATATCCTCCCTCCTAGTTCTCGAACGAAGAAAAGTAAAGAGACCGTCGCTAAACCGAACTTTCTGTTTCTGTCTAATTTTATGGCGTTGATAAGCATAGACAGTCGTCGCTAAACTAACTGCAGCCTACCTCTTCTTATTTTATCTGCAGAAGTCTCAGTCTTGCCGTACCGCACTAAACCTAACGAACGAAATAGAAACTTACAGTAAATGGCAAAGTGACTCGCATGGAGAATAGGCAAATAGGAAATAATAATTGGTAATCCAATGTAGAGCAGAGACCGAATCGGGTCTTACGCTTATGACCCGAACTCGACGCGACCCGAATCAATAGTTTTTATATTAACCCGAACCGATCCGAAGGCTTTTGGACCCGACCCGAAATTTTCAAAACTGGACCCGAATGACCCGAAAAGGACGGGAAACGGTTTCTGCTAGAAAATCGTCCAATATGATTTTGAGTGAAAATGATCAGAAATGCTTCCCTTTTCACTTCCCAACACTTCCCATTTTCAAAAAATCCTTCTGGTGTCTTTGAGAAAAAAATTACATTTCATTTTTCGCCACCAGTTCAACAAAAGCCATTTACCGTTTTCCGCAAATTTCTCGTCCGATTTCCAAGTCCTTGAGCAAAACGCATACATAGTAAAATACAGAATTTTCTGGGCTTCAAAATAAGCTATAAACGAGGTTTTCAAAAATATGCCCATACAGCACAATTGTCGAAATACTAGACAAATATCATCAAGTTCACCTATCTTAGTGCTCTAAAGGAATATTTCTTGAACTCATCTCCTCAGACCCGGAACGTTTTATATACAGAAAGATAGAGAATTTTCTAGGCTTCAAAATAAGCTATAAATGAGCTTTTCAAAAATGCGCCCATATAGCACAATTGTCGAAATACTGTGCGTCTGTAGTGAACTTTTCTGTTGTAGTATGGCAGTTAGCACGTGGAGAGAGAGAGATATTTCATTATTATTTTTTGTTCTATTAGTGTGTCAGTCGTGTTGTAGATAGATATAGTAGTGTCTGGACATCGACGAGAAAAATAAAGAACACGAAGATTTTAGTAGAATTCAGATATCAAGACTGTATAAATAGAAGAGTAATTGT